ATGAGCGAGATGTTGAAGAATCTCGCTTTGATGCGGATTGTGGCTAGACGCTCGTCCACCGGGGTGAACGACAGTACTCGGCGACGGAGTCTCTCTCCCACCACAAATCCAACTCCGAATTTGCGCTCCTTTACATGGCAGCTGTAGTAGACGTCGCAAGGCCCCAGACATTGTTTGCCTTGCCCCGTCCAACGCATTTCTTGGATGGCGGTGATGTCAGCTTTTGTCCTTACGAGGACATCAACCAGCCGGGCAGAGGCACCTTCCCCATTAAGGGTCCGGACATTCCAGGTGCATGCCCTCAAATCGTAGTCCTTTAAACATTTGCCGTGGTCGTCATCATAAGGGGGGGTCTCATCCGAGGCTTTGCCTTGCTTCTTCACTGGAAGTGGTTTTTACGTGGCGGGTCCCAAGCCCAGCGCACAACCCATTGCTGGGACGGGGGTGGTTTCGCAACCAAATACACGTTTATATAGCGAGCCGCTTGCTCCAAGCAGACACCCGCTTGCAGCCGCACCTACTGGTGAACAGACGCTGCAGACTTCAGTGAGCCCTTAAACCGAATAAGTCAGAGTGGCCCCACCGAAGCTCCCTCTCTTTCTGCCGTGACCCAAGGCTCCACTCGGATTGGTTACCGCATCTCGCACATGGGTTGCTCACGTTGCCCAGAGTGCGCGAACGATGACGCAAGAGTCGGGATTGAGTATAGCCATGCAACTGTAACTGCATACCCAGCGCAATGACTATACCCCATTGCACTCCATGTTTGAAAAGCGGTGCTGTTAAAAACTTGCAAAGGTAGACCGCACTCAGTGATGAAGGCCGCACACTAATTTTTAACGTCGTTCTGAGACATTTTCAATAAAATTTTTTGTTTTACACTCGCAAATTTGTAACCGTCAAATACCGCTTTATGCCTTCGTTGAAGATGCGATTTGGGGCTTCCGAGGTGGTCAGTGTTTAAGCACTTTCCACATATTTTACAAGCCATCGTGGTATCTGTATTTTGTTTATACAAATTCGGGATAAAACTTTCCTTTTTCCTTCGCATTTTGGGGTTAAGTTGTTGACCTTTTATAATTATTTTTCAAATTTCAAGCACGCTTACTTCGTTGGTCTTCGTTTGTAGATATTAGCTTTGTTTCTTAACAGATAATTATCAAAAATTTTTACTGGATTCTGCTGGAAAGCATTTCTTAACACAAAAAATTTGCAGAAGAGAGCCAAAAAGAGAGCATAAAAACCGAGAGAGCAGACTTTCTGCCAACAGAAATTTGCAGTAATTTGTTTAAAAAGCAGCTGTTCAAAACGCACAACGAAAAAGTTGGCAAGTTTATTTTACTTCGTTTTAATAAAACACAAGTAATTTTTACCTTTCCGTTGCAAAAAGAATTATCGAAATCGGTTGACGTGGTCCAAAGTTATGCGGTAACATACATAAAAAAATATATATATATATATTCCGACGAACTGATAACCTCCTCCTTTTTTGGAAGTCGGTTAAAAATGAGTGCATCGTTATCAAAACACATTGAAATGCTGCAGAATGTAAGGATTTGTGTAAGCATTTGAAGATGTGTGTGTGTGTATACTGTGATTGCAAATTGTGCTAGTTTTCGTTTCTTTACTTTTTCCTCTTTCGATCTCTTTGTGCGTAAAATTATACTCTTCACCAATCTGCTATCAACAGTTGTAAAAAGTTAAGAAACACCCCTATTAAATATGAGAGCAATGCGTGTCGTTTAGGTATGTATTTCCAGCACAAATTGAAATGAAAACTGTTGAGAATTCGCCCACACACCCTAATGCTAATTAGCTTTGCGGTATTTTAGCGCATCCTCTTTGCAAACATATTCTTTGTACATAAGCTGGTTTACCTGTACATCTGTACATATGCTACAGAAAATAAAGTCATTATTTTTGAAACGTTATTGCGATCACGCGTTTCTATCAAGTTCTGCGTTAACTTTTTGGTGCCTCCTGTGAGGACATAAGATTTAAAGTAACCTTTAGATTCTGACGGCAGAATTAAATTTACCTGCATCGGCAATAAATGCCGTTAAACGTATATACGATCGAGTTCGTACAATACAGCCGGGCTCGTTTGATGAATTTCAACTTGAGCAGGAATTAAAGTTTGCAACAACCAATTTCTCCCGCTTCACGGCCAACCATGATCAGTTGGTGGGTAGTGCGAAGCCCAGCGAATTAGACGCACACGATACAATTTGGTAGGAGGTAGAGGATGTGTACAACTCCACATGCACCATCCTGAAGGGGAGTAAAACGTATTCCACATGCTGGATTGCAACTATGAGAATTTGAGGTTAAGTTAGAGCCGCTCACAGTTCCCATATTTGACGGAACTATGCAAAACTGGCTAGCCTTTACAGATGCATTTGAAATGCTTGTACACAAAACGGATTACCCGGAGGCATACAAATTAGGAAAATTGCGACAAGCAGTAAGTGCGAGTGCGGTGCCTCTCGTTGGAAGCGTATACTCTGGGGGATAGACAGAATCGTGGACGGCGCTAAAGGAGCGGTTCGACAATAGAAAACGGTTAGCCGAAACTCATGTGTCCCGTTTACTCAATATCAAGCCAACGACGGAGGACACATCACAGGCAATATTGCTCATCGTTGACACCGTCCACGAATCTATGCGAGCGTTACCCTGTTGCCGAGTGGGATGCTCTGGTCGTGCCAATAGTTGTTGCAAAGCTTTCAATTACAACTCAGCGTGAATGGAGTATGAATTGTTTACCAATCGAGATCCCAAGTCCAGATGAGTTACTAAAATTTCTGGGACAGCGAGCTCATAGTCTCAAAGGGGCCGATGTTTCGTCTCGGGGTCAACAACGTGCCAGCGGACCATCACGTGCAGTAAAAGCGCACGTCGCATCTGCAGATGAGGGCAAATGTGTATACTGCCAGGGAGCACACCGCATAACAAAATGTGCACGATTTCTGGCGAAGAAATGCGAACAACGTATTGATGCAGTGAAGGCTGCAAAGCTTTGCTTCAACTGTCTGAAGCTGGGCCATTCAGCGAGGCAGTGCACCTCAGGAGATTGTCGCCACTGCAGTCGTAAGCACAACTCGCTACTTTGTCGCGCAAATTCATCACCCAACACAGCATCAGTCCCTCAAGAGAGCTTGACTACAACAGTGCCCAAGAACCCCGACTAGAACCTTCGTCAGTCACTTGTCTTGCCTATACAAGTCGTACAGTTTTATTGGCAACTACGCGGGTACATGCCTACGGTGACCCACAACCCGGCGTTTAGCTCGGGTGCATTGTGACCCGGGTTCACAGGTCAGTTTTATCACACATAGACTAGCTAATTATTTGTTTTTACGCCGTAGCAAATGCGATGTTCGTGTAGAGGGAATAGGTGCACATGCTCACGCTCGTACATGGGGCTGCGTGTCGCTTACATTGAAATTACTTCATTCCAACTTTGAATTGACACTCGCTGCGCTTGTCACCCTGTCAATTACTACGGCCATCCCAACAGTGCATATAGACATGACACAGTGGCAGCACTTAGCAAGCCCGGAGCTAGCCGATCTACAATTCGGGACTCCTGGCAATATCGATATTTTGGTTGGTGCTGATGTATGGGGTCAAGTGGTTGAAGGTGACGTTAATTTCGGCGGTCTGCAAGAGCCACATCCACAACGCACACGTTTCGGTTGGGTTGTCTTCGGTCCAGCATCAGCAGAGAAAATATCAGCACTGCCCTCGCTTGCATTCAGCGCACAGCTGCGAGGCGAGGACATGCAGTTGGAGGAGCTCGAACGCAATTTTTGGCAGCTAGAGGAAGTGCCTTCACAAGATTGTGGTGGAGACGATGAACGCGAACGACACTTTTCAGCAACTCACTCTCGCACTTCGGACGGTCGCTATGTTTTTCAGATAGTGTTTCGCGCTGGCGCCCCACCTCTGGGCGACTCATACGCACACGCTTTGCGAGAGTACGAGGACCTGGGCCATATGGAGCGCGTTGGTCCACTAGACGACAAGGAACCCAGCTATTATATCCCACACCACGCGGTTACGGAAAAATTACGCGTCGTATTCAATGCCTCTGTGCGGACTACAAACGGTATCTCATTGAACGACATCCAGTTAGTAGAAGAAACAATCCAGGAACCGCTCATCAATATCATCTTTCGGTTCCGCCGCTTTCGCATCGCATTGTCGGCAGATATTGAGAAGATGTACCGACACGTGCCAGTAACTCCTAAGCACAGGAACTTCCAACGAATCATTTGGAGGGAATCGACAAGTAACGGCATCGCTGTATAACTCTTAAAAACCATAACTTATGGCATGGCGTGCAGTCCATATAATGCGGTTCGCGCACACACTCAAATGCGCATACGACAATTATAAGGTGGTACCAGACAATCAACAAGCAATTGCAGCTCGTGACACAGTCTTGACATCCTTTTATGTTGACGACTTCCTGACTAGTTGTGACTCAGAAACCAAGGCTATAGAACTTGCGTGAATGCGGTTCTTTCTGCTTTCTACGACAATGGAACTCTAATAGTGGTGAGGTAGGCACTCCGCACATTACGCGCCTAATCATAGTAGAGTAATCGTTTTGTCATGTCAAAACGAATGCATGAGGACTCGACTTCTGCACACTTGGGCGCCCTGCGTAAGCCCTGCTTGCGCGCACATTACAGATTTTCTGGCCGGTCTTTCTCCCTAATATACTTCCGCGAACATTTCTGCAATAAAATATTGCATACACGTTTATGGCTTAATACAATTGGCACGAGTTTTAGCACAAAATCATTAATTTTCAATTATTATCTACTGAAATGACAAATAATTTTTATTTCGAGCACAAAAAAGTAAAGAAATGCCGATATCAAAACGGCAAGCGCCTTACAATGTTGGGTGCTTCGATTCATGAAGTTTTTATGATTAGGCGAAAATATGATTATGAATCGTAATATACAGAGCTTCATTGAAATACATATGTTCGGTATAAAAGCTTCATACTTTAGTACGCCGGAACGATTACACTACTATGACTAGGCGTTTAATGTGCGGAGTGCCTTAGTCATTGAACCTTCCACTGCTGCTGTGCTTGGTTTGAGATGAGAAAAGCTGTGGGCGGCTGGTTTAGTCCGGGATGCACCGCTACCAGACTCACTTCGCGAAATGTGGATCGCATTTTACAGGGACCTTGACGTCATCAACCGCATTCGTGTTCCACGATGGCTAGGGATGGCTGAAGGTCGATCGACTACATTACTCGGATTTTGCGACGCGAGTCCCCTAGCATACGCAGCTGTTATATATACAAGAACTACGAATGGCGAAGGGCATCCAATTGTATCACTTGTTACAGCTCGTACTAAGGTGACTCCGCTCAAGGGGGCCACGATTCCTTGGGTGGAGCTTTGTTCAGCACATTTGCTCGCTGTTACGCTCAACAATGTACGTATTGCTTTACGGTTAACGGATAACCCTTATTTTTTATGGTCAGATTTGCGGATTGTGTTGTGCTGGTTACACAAGCCACCCACTACTCTCAAGCCTTTCATTTCCAACCGCGAACGGCAAATTCAAGAGCTAACATCGCCAGACTGTTGGCACCATGTTCGGTCGGCTCAAAATCTTGCTGACTGTGCCAGCAGAGGTATTTGAGCGTCCGAGCTTGTTGAGCATAAACTGTGGGGGCGAGGTCCGAAATGGCTGACAGATACCCAGGTGCCCATTCCAGGAGAAGTCGATCTAACTAATGAGGAGCAGAGTTGCCACTTCGGCCTTTTTCGGGCTAAATTTAGCTTTTTTTCAATGCATTTAACCTCAAAATAAGTGATTTAGCTTTTAGCTTTTTTTAAGCTGTTTCTTAATTTCATTTGACCTTTTCTAGCCTTTTTTCTTACTAAAGTTCTTTATTGAATCGATATTTAGAAAATAATATTTATATCATAAAAAAATGTGTTATGGTAACTCTAAAAATAGTTGTAGATAAATAGATATCACAAAAAAATTTGTTTATGGTAACTCTGAAAATAGTAAGCACAAAAAAGTTATCGACAATCGTAAAGCGCAAACCGGTTTGCGTATCACTATTAGTTGGTATTTTTAACTGAGTGGCGTCGGAAAAGAGCTGTGCTTTGTGCTACGAATTTTTTAATTTTAACCTCAACCAATGGATAGGTAAATTTCAGTAGATCTCAAATTGTATTCTCTCTTTTAATGGTTTTTTTGTTAAAGATATTTGACGAAGCGATCGGTTGAAGAAATTTCGGATGAAAGTAGGGCCTTTTATTCTGATTGTGAAATACATTCAAAAGTGACAAGATATAAGCCCTGTTCGCGTACGCACTATCCAGTAAATCCAGGTTTTTTACTGGATGTCGTTTTCGTACGCAAAAACTTGCAAGAAACTAGCAAAAGAGGGGAAATTGAGAGAGCAAAAATGACAGCTGAACTTGCAAGTTTTACTGGATTTTTACTTGATAAATTTTTACTAGCAACTATTTGCTAGTAAGAAAAACAGCTGATGGCATGATGCTTATTGTAAATCACATTAAGAAAATAGTTGTTTGTGGTGCTTTTAGAGTTGCAAATGATAAAATAAACCAATTTAAATATACAATAAGATGGAAAACACTAGTTTTCTAAGAAAATTGTATCGGAAAATAAAACCAGTGACTTCTTGCTGGTTTGCGTTTTCGTACTTTCTTGCATATTTCACTTATTGGGAGTAAATATTGGCTTACTCTCTGAAATTAGGTTACTGGCAAGTTACTGGATATTTTTTGCTGGAGAATACGAAAACACAGCTATAGTGACAAGGTATAGTATATGTGATGGGGATTTTTGATTTATATACATATGAGTCGGCCGCTGTGGTGTAGTGGTAAGCAGTGCGCGCTTTCACTCATCAGCACCTGGGCTCAAGCCCTGGTCAAAGCAACATCGNTAAAAATACAATCGCCGTTCGGAGTCGGCGTAAAACTGTAGGTCCCTCCGCTTTGTGTGACAACATCAAGGCGCACGCCACAAATCGGAGGAGAAGCTCGGCCAAACACTAACATATGTGTAATCGCCAATCTATGTTTTAGAAAATAAACAAAAATATAGCTTTATTTTCATACATACATACATATATTATATATAGGTATGTACATGGTACAAGTATCTAAAGGTAAAACCGTTCGCTAAATTTATATTTTTTGTTTATATTTTGAAGTTTGCCTACTTTATAAAATTTAAATTTTCAGAGCAACTAAAACGCTAAAAGTAAATCCTTTAAATTTTTGTATCATGGTTATGTACATATAAAGATTTATGCCGAATTGTTATGTGTGAAATTCAATAAATTTGAAAAAGAAAGTGAAAAATGATTTTTTGTTTTCAGCTTTTTTTTTAGCTCGAAAAAAAAATAATTGCCTTTTTTAGCCTTTTTTTGGAGCCAATCTAGCTTGTTTCTTCAAAAAATTCTGGCAACACTGATGAGGAGCTTGATATTATGCAAGGTGAACATAGGGTTTCATCTCTAGTTACAACAAAAATTTATTCGCCAGTTGTCACTACTCGACGTCGAGACGGACAGACAATTGCTCTGAATGATCGGGTCAGTTCCATTTTAAAGCTCCAATGTACAGTGGCAATTATTCTTCGCTGGCTTCCCGGCAGCCAACACTTGCGAAGCTCAATCGTTAGCCCCGCAGAAATGGATGTTGCCCTTAATAGGCTAACTCGGAACGAGCAGTTATATTACTTCGCTACAGATATAGCCCAACTTCAAAAGGGGTTGTGCGTACCCACCACCAGCAAGCTGGTATCATTGAAGCCCTACATAGATGAAAATGGCATTTTGCGAGCTAGAGGTCGCATCAGGCAAACTGACCTGCCAGAAGATCGGCGCCTCCCGATGATCCTACCAAAACACGGCGAACTAGTACTCTTGGTCATCCAGCATGCACATCATACAACGCTACATGGAGGCCCGCAGCTTGTTCTTCAAACACTTCGCACACGGTATTGGATACTAAACGGTAGGCAAGCGGTTAGAAGCTATATACAGAAGTTTGTTACTTGTCGGCGACATCGAGGCGTGACCCCAACTCAGCAGATGGCATCGCTACCGAGAAAACGAATCAACGCTGCACGACCATTTGCATCATCCAGCGTCGATTATTGCGGTCCATTCACAGTACGAATTGGCGCAAAACGTTCCCGCGCCACGGTTAAGACATACTTGGCCATCTTCATCTGCATGGTAGCGAAGGCGGTACATATTGAGGTCGTCGATGATCTCTCATCACAGGCGTTTCTGGACGCGTTTACAAGATTTGTCAGTCGACGTGGGCCATGCCTCGAACTTTTCAGTGATAATGGTCCTGCTTTCATTAGCGCCAATCGCTTACTACAGGAAGAGCTGGTTGCATGGCAAAACAAAGGCAACCAGCAGTCTTTAGCAAATATGGGCACACATTGGCACGTTATCACGCCTAGCGCTACCCATCAAGGTGGACTCTGGGAGGCTGCCGTAAAGTCCGCTAAACATCATCTGGTGCACTTGGTTGGAGCACAAGCGCTATGGCATAGCCAACTTCAAACATTGGCGAACGGATTGAGGCGTGCCTGAATTCCCGACCGATCACACCGTTATATGACGATCCCGGCGATAAATTGGCACTGACCCCTGGTGACTTTCTCGTGGGTGCCCCACTGGTTGCAGTTCGTGAAGCCTACGTCACTTCAATATCGCCTTAAGCACTGGCTCTGGGTGCGCCAACTACACCAACATTTTTGGACACGGTGGAGTGATGAATATTTATCCACACTACAAATACGCAACAAATGGCAGACACGGTCAACCGATTCGAAAATAGGCGACATCGTTCTCGTAAGGCACGAAAATTTGCCTCCAACGCATTGGCGATTAGGCCGAATTACGGCAGTACATCCGGGAAGTGATGGGTTAACCCGCAACGCCACTCTTCAGACAGCGAATGCAACGATAACCCGGGCAGTTCAGAAGCTGTGCCGGCTCATCGACGACGATAATTTCGAGTCCAGTGCCTCGACCGGGCAGGATGTTGAGAATTCGCCCACACACCCTAATGCTAATTAGCTTTGCGGTATTTTAACGCATCCTCTTTGCAAACATATTCTTTGTACATAAGCGGGTTTGCCTATACATCTGTACATATGCACTCATTTCCATACATAAGCTTTTCTATGTACCTACGAGGGATGTTGCGACTGTGGAATTTTAGACATCCGCGGATGCGAATGCGGATCCGTATGTTTAAAAGCTAACATCCGCGGATGCGGATGCGAATGCGGATGTCATGTATTTTAAGAAATAATTTAGGTGGGTAAATTAGGTGATTTGGGTAAATAACAAATGGAAAGGTTAATAGTTTTTAATAATCTGCCTTATCCTGAGTTTTGCCCGAAAAAAAATTCGTCGGAAAATTTGTATTCCGCCCATAGTAAATATGTACATGAAAACCAAAAGTGAAAAGTGAACCGGTTCGGGGAAAATTAAACTCATGATAAGACTGAATGTTTTTTCAGTACCAAAAGTGAAAAGTGAACCGGTTCGGGGAAAATTAAACTCATGATAAGACTGAATGTTTTTTCAGTACTTGAATTTAAAAATTGGAACATTGTACTTAATAAAAACTTTTTGAAGGGTCGTAAATCAAACCTGCGCCACTATATAACAACTCGTTCGAGGCGACAAACTTTAAACTTTGCAAAATTGTAAATTCTTTTCGTTTGACACCGCACCAATTGAGAGGACTTTCAGTGATATTTATTAATTTTTATTGGAATATTCCAGGGACCGAAAATAACAGTTATTTTTTCCGAGTTAAATTTGGCCTAATATTTTTTATTACGAAATAAACGTCCTATCCGGATAATAAAGAAACCGCTTATCCAAATAAAACAAATTTGGTATCATATGAAAGAGGACTGAAATAGCTTTTAAACAGAAATAACGAATGACGGTTACGAGCTCTATTTACATTTTTTATAACTTAATACTAAAGAAATTCGTGTAAATACATACCTGACCCAATGTTTGTTCTATGGTAATTAATTAACATTTTTTATTTAAATATTTTTCAATGTGAGGCATTAGCGCACAAAATGGGTGGGTTTTGGGGTTCCAACCCTCCCTAAAGCCAATAACCTCAAATTCAAACTATATCTTAAATCCTAAAATCCAGCTGTGAAGAAAAATCACAAGAAATATTTTCTATTATTTCTGTTTCATGAATAAATAAATATGAGAGCATTTTCTTATTGAGAGTTGCAAACTGAGTTAAGAAATTTTGATAGAAGAAAATTACTTTTCCATTTCGTGTGCGTCATTTTATATTAATTTTTCGTTTTTCTTGAGAGCTCTTTATAGTTTAACTGCGAATGAAAACATTGTCCTAAAAACATGCAATGCATACTCACTTACTGTTGTTTTTTTACACTTTATAGTCTAAAAGAGTTTACCACTGATATGTACTTAACAAGGATTCGAAGAATTAATTTGCCAACTTCGAATTCGTTCCACGAAAATGAGCTACATAATAAAAATACAAGTTCAGTTAGTTTTTCCGGTATTCGCAATACTAAAAAGTTTGGAAATTGTGAAAAATCACCATCTGCATCGAAAACCAGAGATCGATGAAAATGAACATTAAACTCTTTTTTAACATTCTTTATTACTTTTGAAAGTTGAGTGCATCTTGTATTTATAGAACTTTATATTAAACGAGTAATTTTCAAACGACCGGACGACCCTTCGGTACCCTCTACCGATAAAAAAAAGAATTATTGCAATCGTGGTTCAAAATTATGCGGAAGCACACATAAAATAAGGACAACATATTCCGACGAATTGATAACCTCTCCCTTTTTTGAAGTCGATTAAAAATGTTTGAGTACTTTGTTAATTTTATGTAAGTAAAGTGCAATTTATGAAACTTCAAAAAGTTTATTTATTTATTACATACGGTACAGAAAACTTGCATAAATATTCTTTAAAGAGCATATTATCTGCATTTTCAGAAGTAAAAGCCCCTCCCAAAATGTATTCCTGGGTGCGCTCCTGATGTGAGGCTTTCCTCTTTTAGACATTTCAGTTTTAAAGCTATTCAAGTCCTCTTTCATTGGATACCAAACTTGTTTAATTTGGATAAGTGGTTTGTTTATTATCCGGAAAGTACTTTTATTTCGGAATGAAAAATACTTGGCCAAGTTTAACTCGTACAAAATAACTGCAATTTTCGGTCCCTTCAATATTCGCATTCGCAAAAGATCCGTATTGAATTTTGCGAATGCGAATGTTAAAATGAATGCGGAAGCTCCGCGGTTGCGAATGCGAATATTCGCAACAACCCTGGTACATACTTACCTTCATACTTATGCACACAGTTTTGTTAAATAGTTATGAATTTATACTAAATTGGAAATTACAGAAAATAAAGTCATTCTTTTTGAAACGTTATTGCGATCACGCGTTTTTATCAAGTTCTGCCTTAACTTGATTTATTTCATTTAAACGTTAACGATTGAGTTTTGTTTCGTTAATTTAGCTCCGAAACGTAACGAAGTTATTTTGATACGTTTTTTTTGCTCGCTAACGAAACGAAATCTATTTATATAAGGGCTATTCGCGATTCAGTGCATACGAGCTGACGAATTTATGCAATTGCAGAAATATGCCATGGATTGTGAGCGACCGTAAAGCTTTTGCAAAACAATTTTTGTGCATCAGCTTTGGTTTTGTTTATGAATGCAATGCATAGCATTTTTATGCTATGGATTTTCGGTATTGCAAATTTGCCAAGCCATGACAAATGCAAATGCGTGTATTTTGTTTGTGTATTGCAAATAATTTGCAATACAAATTTGCAATGCAATGATGCTAGGCCATTTGCACCGGATCGCGAATAGCCCTATAGTTTGTTGAGCATCTCTGGTATAAGGTCTGTCGAAGGTACGTAAGTATTTTCAAAATCACACATTTCTTTAGTGAAAATTTGATTTTCCACTGATAACACACTAAGACGATTTCACTTCGAAGATTTAATTATATTTATTACTGAAAACAATCTTTCAGCACCAGCAGTGCTATGAGGAAGGACTGCCAAATTGCACATACAGCCACTCACAAAAGTATTCGTAATTTAGTTTTTTTTCAAAATATTCAAAATGTTTTCCTTTTTCATTTGAAACATTTTGTTTCATTTGAAACATAACTCATTCTATAACAAAAACCATATAAATGATTCTTGCAAACTTTGTACAAAATTCATAAATATGAATCAAACTTAAAAAATTTGCATCAAAATTTTAAACTTTTTACTCAGAGTTTTTAGAAAAAATTTCAGTATGCAGTTTTGTAGCCCGCTCAGTTTCAGTATAGTAAAGTGCAAGTTTCAAGTAGCTAAAAGTTACCGCAGATTTTTTAGAATTTTTTTTGTCGAGGGTGTTGCGCATTTGTTTCCATATAAGGCAAAATCCATTTTTATATGGAAGAAAATGCCCAATACCTTCGACAAAAAAAATTCTAAAAAATCAGCAGTAATTTTCAGCTGCTTTAAACTTGCACTTTATTATACTAAAATTGAACGGGCTACAAAACTGCATACCGAAATTTTTTTTTTAAAACTCTGAATAACAAGTTTGAAATTTTGCTGAACATTTTTTTAAGTTTAATTCATTTTTATGAATTTGTACAAAGTTTGGAAGAATGATTTATATGGTTTTTGGTATAGAAAGAGCTCTATTTTAAATGAAAATTAGCGAAAAAGATTTATGATGGAAAACATTTTAAATATTGTAAAAAGTCTAATTTACGAATACTTCTGTGAGTGAATGTATACATATTCGGATAATTCAGTAAACATAAATTCATCACATAAATTTTTTTCATTCTTTAGCGTAGTCCAACCTTTGACCAAGTAATCTTGAAACAAATCCTTAACTTTGGATTTGTAAAAACGATCAAATTTCACCACTCGCTGTTCGACGACTCTTCCATACCCTCAAGAAAAGGATATTGTTTAAGAAGCGGTAAAATAATGCATATCACCTTTTTGAATAATTTGTGGGTCACAATACTTTAACAGTCTTAAGTTGTTAGCAGCAAAATTAAACCGTTTACATATTTCATCACACAGTTTTATATAATACTTTAAAAGTTTACATTTAGCACTATGAATATCTATATAACCACAGCTGCTCTCTTCAAACTTTTCAGTTTCAGCTGAAACTGCTATACGATTCTAAATTTTGCCGTACAAAGAACTCTCACCTGAAATTGCAGCGAAATTGCTTCAACTTCGCGAACACAATTCTTAAAATTGAGTAATGTGAATTATTAATGAATAAAATGAAGAAAAAAAAACAAACGTCAAACGTCAAAAAGCAAGTAAAAACAAAAGAAACCTGACAACAACAAACTGTCGTCGAAACTGAAATTGAAATGGTTGTGTAAACAGCTACAATTTGAGTTTGGACTAGAGTGTTGAAATTGCGCAATTCGGCAGAACCCTCAGCTATTCAACTAACATAATATTTACAATAAATTTTCGTGACTTTAACATTCATAATGAGGAGAAAATTGGCTGGTCAACTTATTTGAAAGCAATATTTTGGCAAAGTGGTAATAATTTTATTTCAGTAAAATTGTGGTAGATTTTTTAAAATGTGTGGTAGTTGAGGTAGAAGTAAAAATTACCCAAAATGTAGTAGATCTACCACAATTGTGGTAAAGTGGCTACACTGCTCAGAATACAAAATTACGATTGTTTCGGAGCGGAATGCGGGAATGTAATCAAAATTCGGAATAGTGCTGATTGAAAATTTTTTAATTATTAAATATTTAATTCTAAATATTTTTATTTATAAAAATACTAGCAGACCCGGCGAACTTCGTCAAGCCCAAAATTTTTATTTTTTTATTGAAACTTTTTGGTCCAACATTTTCACCAACAATTCACGTTTACGATTTTCATTGGCACATTCATCTGCTTAGATTATGGTTTGGTGGTCAATTTCCGCTCTAAATATCCTAAGGAAAGTGTCATATCCGTGAAGAAATTCTTGAAATTCTCCAACTGTGCAGCATTTCATAGCACAGTTATTCGCAAAACGAAATAAATAAAATGAAGAATATTTTCCTCTTCACTCCCTGGCGGCAGCAATGACCCGGTTCTATAGTGAATCTGTCCTAGAAGCTTTACAGTATAGTTGGTGGCAATTTCAACGAATGCGAATCCTTTTCTACAGAAATCCAATATACATACATATACTTAGACGAAATACCTAAAAAGCTGGAATGCATAATAATACTTGAAAATCACATCCATTGGGACAATAGTAACACAGTAGAGTTCGATATACTCAATGATGCAACAGGTCGATTTAATCTGACCTTCACGGCATCTTTTCTCGCTTGGCTATTTTTAGTAACAACTCGACTCCAGCGCCACTTGGCAGCACGTTTTTGCAATACTATTGCTCTTACCATTACCAATACATATTTAAAATATTAGCCAAATCGGATCATAAATAAGATCTTTAGTAATAACTCAACTACAGCGCCAACTGGCGAATTAAATTGTGAAACTAAACCACTCAAACACACACAACAAAATTTCGTTAAATCCGTACAACCATTTAGGAGGATTTCCCTCACAAACACACCCACAGAATAATTATAAATACATTCAAATAAAACTAAAAGTCGCTACGTTTGTAGACTTCACGCCCCCTTTTTCAAATAGCCCGAATTTTCTCCATGAGTATGGGCTTGATTTCATATAGATACATATCTCCATACGAAGTTCCAGTACTGTACCATGAATACTTTCAGAGATATGCAGTATGAAAAACCCCGTTTGTAATGGGAGGTGTCACGCCCTCTTTTACAATAGCTCCATTTTTTCTCCAAGAGTATGCGATTGTTTTCGTATATCTTCATACCAAGTTCCAGAACTCTACCAAGAACACTTCCAGAGATATGCAGTATGAAAAATTTGCTTTATATGGGAGGTGCCTCGCCCCTTTTCCAATAGCTCCAATTTTTCTTCAGGATTACGCGATTGATTTCTTATAGTTATCTCGATACCAAGCTCCGGAACTCTACCATGAACACTTCCAGAGATATGCAGTATGAAAAATTTGCTTTATATGGGAGGTGCCTCGCCCCTTTTCCAATAGCTCCAATTTTTCTTCAGGATTACGCGATTGATTTCTTATAGTTATCTCGATACCAAGCTCCGGAACTCTACCATGAACACTTCCAGAGATATGCAGTATGAAAAATTTGCTTTATATGGGAGGTGCCTCGCCCCTTTTCCAATAGCTCCAATTTTTCTTCAGGATTACGCGATTGATTTCTTATAGTTATCTCGATACCAAGCTCCGGAACTCTACCATGAACACTTCCAGAGATATGCAGTATGAAAAATTCGGTTTGTATGGGAGGTGCCACACCTCTTTTTACAATAGCTCCAATTTTTCCCCAAGATTGATTTATATATCTCGATGCCAAGTTCTGTACTAGCTAGGGAGGTGTCACGCCCTCTTTTACAATAGCTCCATGTTTTCTCCAAGAGTATGCGATTGATTTCGTATATCTCCATACCAAGTTCCAGAACTCTACCAAGAACACTTCCAGAGATATGCAGTATGAAAAATTCGCTTTATATGGGAGGTGCCACGCCCCCTTTTCCAATAGCTTAAGGTTTTCTCCAAGAGTATGCGATTGATTTCGTATATCTTCATATAAAGTTCCAGAACTCTACCATGAACACTTCCAGAGATATGTAGTATGAAAAATTTGGTTCGTATTAGAGGTGCCACGCCTCTATTTCCAATAACTTGAATTTTTCTCCAAGTTCCAGAACTCTACCAAAAAATTCCGTTTGTGTTAGAGGTGCCACTCCCCCTTTACATATAGAATTTTTTTTTACCTAAAACCATCCATGGGTGCTCGTGCTGCAGGTGTCTGAAAATTCAAAACAACGGCTTTCAAAATATATATATGTATATATATATTATATATTATTATTATATTTTACCTGTTTCCGTTATTTCTGATTGTCGCAAAAAAAAAAATTGGCTAGTGACGAATTCGCCCCTTGATATGGTGGTTGCTCAAAGCTATTTACATATATTCGAAATTGCATGAAGCTTATCCAGGCAAAAAGCTACCTACATACAAAATTTTAATCAAATCGGACCATAGATCCGATTTTTCTAATAGATCGGTCGCTAGTCCACTTCGCGTAAAAAAGGATCCTATATGCTAATCTAGGCAAAAAGCTACCTACATACCAAATTTTAAGCAAACCGGACCATAAGTACGATTTTTTCGAATAGATCGATCCCGGGTCCACTTCCCGGAAAAAATGATCCTATATGCTAATCTAAGTAAAAAGCTACCTACGTTCCAAATTTTAAGCAAATCGGACCACAATAAAACTTTTTCGAATACTTCGGTCGCTGGCCCATTTACCGGAAAAAAGTAAATTTTTTTGCCCTAAAACATGGTAGTTTCTGAAAGCTATCTATATACAAAATTTCATGAAAATCGGACCAGCCGTCCGCGAAGATTACCTGTTACAAAGAAAAGGGACTTCTCTTTATATAATTAGTACAGAATAGATAATCTTTACTACTTACTTTAGTTAGGATTAGACATGGGTTAGCCAAGGATTAGAGATATGAGCCGCTGAACAGTAATAAGGGATTTGATTTTTTGAACCTTGAGTTGTGTCGTTATTGCATAGGACCATCGATATGTGAATTCATATTTTTCGAAAATGAAATAAATTCGAGCATAAACACGATTTTTAGTAACATATATATATGTAACTCAATTTCAGCGCCATCTGGTGGCAAATTTTTTTCGAAAGAATTCTGTTTCTTGTTATCAATACATATTTTGAATCTGAGGATAATCGGACCATAAACACGATTTTTAGCAATAACTCGACTCCAACGCCACCTGGCGGCTCTTTTTTTTGCAATGGTATTGTTTATCCTATTGTCAATACATATCTCAAATATAAGGCGAATCGGACCATAAATACGGGTATTACTAATAACTCGACTCCAGCGCCACCTAGCGGTTGTTTTAATAGTTATTCTGCTATTCGGAAGGTAGACAATTTCAAAAACCACATATCATAAAAATTGGGCCAGCAGTTCTTGAGTTATAAATGGTGTAACTAACACGACTTTGTTTTATATAATATATACTAGCAGACCCGGCAAAATTCGCCCCGCCCAAAATTATTTTTTTTATTGAAACATTTGGTCCAACGTTTTCGCCGGCAGTTCACGTTCTCGTTTGGTTTTGTGGTCGACTTAAATCTTAAATAACCTGACGAAAGCGTTATACCTCTGCTACCACCAGCGGGTTCCGAGTTGAATACTTTCAGAGCTGGAGCGTCGGTGTCCGTTCGAACGACATGGTCAAGTCAGCGGAGCCGCTGTGTTTTAACTCGCTGCACTATGAGCTCATACAGCTCATCGTTCCATCGTCTGCGGTACTCGTCGTCGCCAACGCGTAAAGGCCCGTAAATCTTCCGCAAAATATTTCTCTCGAATACTCCAAGAGCCGACCCATCGGATGTTGTCATTGTCCATGCTTCTGCGCCATATACCAGCACGGGCATGATGAGTGACTTATAGAGTGTGGTTTTCGTACGTCGAGAAATAACTTTTCTCCTGAACTGCCTACACAGTCCAAAGTAGCAATTACTGGCAAGAGTGACTTCGCGGTTTTTGTTACCGATGATGTCGATTGCATCGGCATAAGCCAGCAATTGTACGCTCTTGTAGTAAAATAAAATAAAATAAAAATTGTTCCTGAGCGGTTCAGTTCTGCAGTTCGCGAGATCACCTTTTATAAAAAGAAGGAGCTTTTCTTTATATTATTGGTGTTGGTAACACTGTGCAATAACGATTTTGATGCGGAAAATTTTTGTTTTGATTACGAATCCGTAATTATAAAGTTTCCATCAGCTCCAGCAAGGAAACAGAAGGTGATAGAACTTTCCACTTAGGCTTAAATTAAAGCTAGAACTATAGACTAATATCCCTGAAAATACTATTCCTGCACCTTGACCTGATGGTCACCTATGATTATTTACGTTTTATCGTCCAACAATAAACAAAATACTGGAAAACTATGCAATTAAAAAATATGTAAAAATCAGTGTTAGCTGTTCAATAAATGACTTAGGGTCAAGGTGCAGGAATGGTATTTTCACGGGTTGAAATCAGAAGTCCAAGATAGTAGTCGAGATTTTTAGTTTTAAGCTAAGCCTAAGTGGAAGGTTCTACCACCCTTTTTTTATTTGCTAGAGCTTCTCAAATATTGCAAAAAAACGCGCTTTTTTGACACTTTTACCTCCTTTTTCTTAATATCTGGAGCTGATGGAAACTTTATGCTTACGGATTCGTAATCAACACAAAAAAATCTGTCAAAAATAGCGTTAACATTTGCTGCATCAAATTTTGTTTCCATTTGTGTTTGTGTAATAAGTATTGTTAAATAGCGAATACCCGCATGTTTGCGGCGCTTTCAAAAACCTTTCGAACTGCAAAACAATGACTCAATTCTATTCTTCGCATATCTATAATACGGGTGTCTAATTTCAAGCAAGTGGCAGCATGAATAAGATTTTTTCCAATAGATCGGTATATGGGCCACCTATTAGAAAAAATATTCTATATGTTAATCCTGGCAATAAGCTACCTACGTGCCGAATTTCATGCAAATCGGACCATAAATAAGACTTTTTCGAATAGATCGGTCCCTGGTCCACTTAACGGAAAAAAATTGATCCTATACGCTAATCAAGGAAGAAGGCTACATACGTACCAAATGCATTTTTTTTTTAGCGTAGCTCGACCCCTGCACCACCTATCGGAAGAATTAAAACTTTGTGTACTCCTCCTTCTAAACACCTTTCCAAACAAACAGCAACCATTCGATTTGGTCATGAAACTAGGACAAAATTGGTCCCAATTGATTATGCTTACAATGAATTTCACAATTATTCTAAATTTTTTATATCATCAAAATCATGCGATAAAATGCAAAATTTTGGCGAAAAAAATTTAAATTTTTCGCGTTATTCCGGATTTTTCCAAGTTTTTCACTTAGCATTTTCTATTCTTCGATTCGAAAGCCATTCCAAAGGAATTGCACAAAAAATTCCATACAAAAAAATCTATTTTCGATTTTTCTGATTTCCCGACTTTCCCAGAGGGTTTTCCCAAAATTTTCTTTTGTAAAAACCTTCTCCTGGCAATTACGAACTACTAAAAAAAAATGTTTGTCAAATTGGCCCAACTGTTCTCAATTGATGAACTACTATACATTTTTCACACTAATTTTTTTTTATATATATATTAGGCGACCCTCTGCCTGCTTCGCTAGGCATATCAAAATTAGAAATGAATAATGAACACTCGATTTAAATTCACTCTATGTGTATTTATTCTTTTTTTACAATATAAAATTAATGTTAATTTTAAACTTAAACTAACGCAAAGCCTTTTCGTAAACTACATTTTTTGTTTTGCCCTGAGTTGTGGTATAAATAAACAGAACTGATGGCTTTCCTACACGTGAACATGATACATATAATTGTCCGTGGGAGAAGCATGGATATTCTAAGTCAATTCCGCATAATTCCAGCGATTGTCCTTGTGCTTTGTTTATTGTCATTGCAAATGCAAGACGTATTGGAAATTGCAATCTTTTGAAGTCAAAAGCTAAATCTGGTGGAATCAGTGGAATACGCGGAATCAATACGTCTTCACCTTTGAATTTTCCTTTTAAAATTGTTGCTTCAATAAGATTATTCATGACCTTTTTGACTGCTAATCTTGTTCCGTTACACAATCGTGGCTGATTTAAATTTCTAAGTAAAATAATTGGTGCACCAACTTTCAATTGTAAGCGATGAGCCGGCAGTCCAGGTAAATCCAAGGAATTTAAAAATTCTGTTGGATAATTTACAGCGTCATCTTGATTTATAACTGTATCAATTGATTTAAATGTTACAATCTCACCAGGCACATCATTTAAAATATTCGCATTCAATTGACCAACATCCTTATTTTTCGCAGCCAGTATTGCTCTTTCAGCTAACCAATTGTGATTTTGATAATTTTGCGCAATATTTGGAAAAACACTTGAAACTAATTCTTGTTTTGTGTGTGCGAAATTACAAAAATTATCTGGCAAAGTGATTAAGCCAGTAGCAGCATCAATAGGAATTTGTCCATTTCCTATCTTCAGAAGTTGTCTTGAAAATTCGTCAGCCGATGCATAATTTTGCAAATAAACTCGCAGATTTGTTTTCAAAGTCAAAGTTTTTACGTGCCTCCATAAATGGGATGTCTTTAAACATGCTTTTAATTCATCTGCTGGTGTTGAACGGGGAATTACTGGCAAAGTTTGACGAAAATCACCAGACAATAATATTAAAGCGCCACCAAATATTTCTTGATTATTACGTAAATCTTTCAAAGTTCTATCCAATGCTTCCACTGATTTTTTATGTGCCATTGTACATTCATCCCACACAATTAATTTGCATTGTTGCAAAACTCTTCCCATTCCAGAATTTTTTGAAATGTTACATGTTGGATTTTCATTAATTTGCATATTCAATGGTAATTTAAGTGCGGAATGCGCTGTACGGCCACCATCTAATAATGTAGCAGCTATTCCAGACGATGCAAGCGCTAATGCTATATTGTTTTGTGATCTTACAGTCGCTAATAACAACGAAATCAAAAACGTTTTACCGGTGCCACCTGGCGCATCTAAAAAAAACATTCCTCCACTTTTGTTTTGTATAGCTTGCATTATAGTGTCATATGCATGTTTTTGTTCTATATTCAATTTCGGCAGATTCAAATTTATAAATGTGTTAAGATCATTTATATCGTATTGTTGTTCACGTTGTATATCTTGATTAAATACGTCATGCATTGCTCGATTAGGAGGTGGTAAACCTAATTGTGACAATAATTTATTTGCAACTGCTAAGCACATATCTTCAATAATAATCAATGCCTCGTTATACATTTCCAGTGTAATGAGTAATTCCTGATTTGCAGAAATACGACGCATTCTATTCAAGATATCTTCGGTCATATAATCACGATAACTTTGCCACAGTTGCAATGGATCAGATGGAAAACATGTTGCAACAATAATTGAAAATAATGTCCGTATTTGATGCGGTGTACCTGTTGCGGATGCATCTGCAAGTGTTGCATCCCAATGATTATCATCTTCAAGTAGATGCAATTCTTCACATGCTCGCCGGTAAGTTTGACAGAGGCGCCCATTAACTCTTTTCAAATTCAAAAAAGACGTTGGTCCACGAACATTAATTAATAAAAGACGCAAATAAAAACATTCAGCCTGGCTAGGATGCACTGTATAAAGTCGTCCTATGGCGTCACTTTCAAAAACACCAGGATAACCATCAACAGGTTTTCCTCTTTTACGTCTTTCCCATGTCTTTGAACTTACATTCCATGTGTAATATGTTGGTACTTGTGAATAAAGCAGTGTTTTAGCAAATTGATCTCTTTCACATAATTTAAAAAAAGAAATTAATGTGGTTGATGGCGGTCGCTCTACAATTGCCTGAGCATTATCAACAGTAAAATACACACGCTGTCCATTTTCCAAATGAACTGCTAAATGAATAACAGCTGGACTACGGTCATGAATGGGGAAAGACAAAATTCGCCAAACTGCCTCGTTACTACTAATGTACCTGCCCATTTGGTATTGAGTTATTTCATCATTTCGGTTCTCTGCAACTCCAAAAACAGCCATGTCACTGCCTTTGTTAATATACTTGCAAATGTATTTAATCGATTTGACCGAATTACAATATTCTACATTGATATGAGCTTTGTACGCTTTCGATAGCAATGGCGAATAGGGAACTACCCATCTATTATCAATTTCAAAATCTTGACGATTCACTTGTAAAGTTATTGATTTGCCGTTATCCTGTGTTGAACGTCGACGATATAGAGGGTATCCATCATTTCCAGTAATTGTTTCAGAAATGAGTGCTCTAGGGTATCGTTTCGTACATTTGCCATCTTGCATACATGGTGAATTGACATTTATCACACCACACGGGCCATGTATCATATTTTTAGTGACAACATCAAATAAATCTGGATCAATTGTCTGATCCGGAATCTCAGCTGAGATTACATCATCTATTTGATCGGTTGTAATTTTGTCCACTAACCATATTAAAATATGCGCGTGTGGCAAACCTCTCTTTTGCCACTCGACAGAGTACATCCAGCATCTAACTTCTCCGTAAACTTTATATTTGACAATAAAATCCATAAGTGACTTGAGTTTTTGTCGAAATATTCTTGCAGTGATATCATGGCGATCAGTAGAAGATTGTCCGGGATACAAATATTTCTTAATTTCTTCCCATTTTGGATTGCACGTGAATGTTATAAATAAATCAGGCCGACCATAACAACGAACATAACATATGGCATCTTGTGCGTACTCATGCATATGACGGGGGCTCCCTGTGTAGGTCGATGGTAAAATTACCATTTGTCCAATATTGTTTACATTTCTGTCATTATTGATCGCATCTCTGAGATGGATATACTCTTCTGAGCGCAACTTCCTTTGATTAAATCGAATGAAATTCAAACGTTCTGTTTCTATCTTTGCATACATATCTACGATATATTGATGAAATAGTTTTCGGGCTTTCAAAATATGATTTTCCTGGTTTTGTCGTATCATAATTCTATATGCATAATAGTTCATGGCGCTTACGTTTTTATTTACTTCACGTTCTGAAAAAAAAGCAAAGCAAATAGAATGATAAAACATGACACAGAAAATTATTGAAAATCATCATTAATCCAAAAACTCACGTGGATTTGCTGGATCAACCATTTTTATATTGACAGAGTATCCATCTTCGCCTCGACAAAATAAAATTGGATATTGTAGTGCGTCATAACAGCGATGCGTTTCGCATACACGTTGTAATTGATTATTTCTTCGGCGCAATACAATATCACGTGATTGAAATTCTTCACCAACAATCACAATAGCAATTTCATTATTAAGCGGTGCATTAAATCTTCGTTCGTGTTCACCGATCGGTCTTCTGTCAGCTCTAATCACAATTTTATGATCATCAGATTGCATTTGATCAAGTGCTGTCTTAAACGTAGTAACCAATTCGTTATGTTCATGAAATATTGCTTGCAATTCTTCAATTATCAATCTTCTGGCACTTTTAAAAAATGCACAACGTGTATCGACTTCATTTTGATTATTGCCAAGGAAATAAATTTGCAAAAATTGATAGTTAGCATCTGGGAATGGCAGCAAGGAACCGATTTTGTGGTAAATTTGCCCTTGTATCTGTAATGTAGAGCCAAAATATTCAGATGATAGATTGTCTATTTCAAAATTTTCATTTGAAATGCTTGATGCCGAAATTACCTTGAAGGTCGGCATAAAATTATCTCTTATTATATTCGTCGCACCAAAAGACGTCATTTGAAAACATGAATTGTACATTTGAATGTGATCCAAAAAATGATTTGATTGAGGTGTTGAGCCAGAAAGCAGTGAAGCTAATGGTTCTGGTGGATATTGTAATTCTGGTAGTCGTACTTTCCCAGAAGTACAACACATTCCAGGAGGTTCAGTTTTAAATTTCACTGCATTACAATATTGACATATTTTGTCCATTGCGCCAATAACCACAAATTTATGCAAACTATAATCAATGGCATTGTTATATTGAAATCCAGCACCGTTCAAATCAATATTAACATTGATTCGTGCTGCTTGTTGTCGTCTTTGTGCATTTTCATTAACATTTCTTGCTGCACGATGCGCTTGCATTCTTAATCTATCGTGCTCATTACGTTGTATACGTTCTTCAGGTGAATGGCCTGAACGTGATCTGGCCATACGTTCCCTTTGATTTTGGTTTTGAATTTCTCGCTCTTCTTGTGATTGATTTTGCCTTTCATTTGATCTATTTTGCGTTCTACGCGACCGACGACCAATATCATTTCTTCGCGGGCGTGGCATTTCTAAAATAAAGCGATGAAAATATAAGTAATATAATTTTCTTTTTTCTATTGTTGAAATTAAATTTCTAATTCTTTTGGCCGCATAAGTTGATTTCAAATAAGTTAAAACAAAATAATTGAAAAGTAATGAATTTAATCAAAAAAACATAAAAAACTTACAATGTGCATTACAATCGCTAACAACAACAACGAAACCACCGTTTTTTTTATTTTCACTGATTATTAAAATTTTACGCACCATATATTTTATTTTTATAAATTTTTTCCCAAAAAAAAAAACAACAATGAAAAACACACTTTAAAATTGTTGACCACTCACCAAATGGTTTTGATACAGCTGATTATGTTGACCTCAGTATATCCAGTAAACAAACTGTGGTGAAAGTCCTTTATAAGGACCAAGTTTATAGTGGTGAAGTTTTAAGTACAACACAATTTTCTGTACGCAAGGTTGCTCTTTGGCAAAAATAAAGTAATCTTTAGAAATCATAAAAAAAAAGTTGCAAATTTAAAAGAAATATCTTAAAGAAAAACTAATACATGCATTTACTTGAATAAGTAAACAGCAAAAGTATACTAAAATGACTATTTAATGCGTTGTTTGATACAAATTTATATTATTGCTCAAAACCCTCTGCGCGCTGCCGCTGTCTTTTTGTTTCTGTATCGCATCGCGGTGAATTCACGTTTTTCAGAAAGTTGGCAACAGAAGAAAATTGAAGAAAGTACATATTTTGCTCATATTTGCTATTAAATGAAAATGTGTTTCGGGTACTTTTTAATGTTGCAACTACTCTTTAGTTTTGAAACTGCTTACACTCACAAAATAATCCAACTCTTTTAAACACACATACAAATATAATTATTTATTTTGGTTTTTCCACTCGTCAAAGCAGCACATAAGGTTGCATTATTTAATTATTACCTAATACAAACTTGTTCTCTTTTAACAATGATAATATTACTATGTGAAATCAAGTAAATATGCATTTTTGTATTATATCCTGAGCATTTGTCTTCAGCGCTATACCAATGCTCGAACACTTGGAGCATGAAATTTACAGAAGTATTGTAACAGAAATCCCTGAGAGCGCTATTTTAGTTGTACCTGCTTTTATGCATTTATCTCGTAAACGTACGTTTTCCCATATAAAATTGTCTACCTAAATGCATGAAAGAAGTGTTAGCATAACTTTTTCGAGTATATATATATACAGGAGGATTTATTTTTTACATTTTGCTCGTCGGCTTTCGCGTTTTCTTTTCTTGGTTTTAGACTTTCACCACAAAAAAATTACGCAAACCCATGAACAAAGTTATACTAATAGAAACCTGATCTTAATACTCGAGCTACCATCAAATTAACACATTTTATTTTTTAAAAGAACATTTATGGCGACTGTCGATCCATATTGATGGATTTCAAAAAGTGTATGGATTCAACCGCTGAATAATTTCGTATGTTTTAAATCCATCTAAACTTTTACATTTGCGCATTTATATATATGTATTTAACATTTAATTTAAGTAAACGTTTCAATATTTGTCCAAAAACTTTGAACTTCGAAAAATACAGGCTTATGGTTATTAATGGAATCAAATATATTTAACGAATTTTTATTTTATCTAAATCATAAAACGTTCAAATGAAGCTCAAAATATTTTTCCAGTTTAAAAAAAAGCAATGTGCTTTGATGCCGTGTCACGCATGCATAAAAAGGAA